CACATCTAATTTTTCCTAGAAATACTTATATATTTAGTTGAAAATCTTAATGGTCTGGAATCATAATATTATTACAAGTAGAGAGTAAGGAGTAATAGAACTCAGATTGGAAATCATTAAACAATGTGATCAGGGCTCTAGCATTTTTTCCTTTTTTTTCAATAACATTTTGGTTCATATTTCCACTAAATGAATGAATAGGAGGCTTCTGTAATCAGGCTACAAAGGACACGCAGTAAACTATGAGTGATCTTTCCAGATTTCCTTGTGCAACATCCAAATAGGATATTCTGAGCTTAATTTCATGGCTAGTCTTCTTTTGTTTGTGGAAATGGATCAACTCTCTTGTGAGAACTAAGGCAATGGCAACCCAGTAGAGTAGGCTGACAAGAAACTTACCAAGGTTTAGATTTGTGGTACAAAAATCTAACCTCTAGGAACTTAAAAATACAGATTTTCTTTATCTCTTTTATTTCTGAGACAAGTATTTGGCAAATAGTATTATAAAGCCATCAAAAACAGTAGGCATCTCATGAGATATTGTCACAGGCCTTAGAATCACTCTCTCCTACTCTCCTCCCAGTGTCCTTGGAAACAGGATCCCTACTTCTCTGGCTCCATTTATTGAAACAAGGACTAATGGCTGGGCCAAGTAAGCTGATTATATTCTTCCACAACACATTGGATTCTGGAATTCCTGTCCATTTCTAATGCCAGCTTCAACCGAAGCCCGTAAGATGCATATAGGAGCAGAGAAGCAAAGCAGCCAATCCACAGAATGCACAATGGACAAACACAGTGAGCAGAGCAGACAGTGAAGGGGGAGGTGGAAAGAGTGGGGAGGGAGAAGGAAGAAGGAAGAATGAAAGGACACATCGGGGAGAAGGGTGACACTCTGCCCTGACATATTTTCCATTGAGTTTCAGTCCTACCAGAGGAATGCATGCATTTCTGCACTCGGCTGTCCTAGGAATACTTGAATCCTTATAATAAATGTCCTGATACTGTCTTTTTCCATGTTTGTGAGTTTACAAACACTAGGAAATTACATAATTCGAATTAAGGATAAGGTAACAAATTCAATGTGAATGAATCATATTCTATTTTTATAAAGTAAGCCGTAGCCCATAAATAGGGTACCCTTTCAGAGAACAAACCAACTAATTCAAAGAAAAAAATTCGTATTGGTTTCAGGGAGCCTTGGGAAAAAAGTTAAGGTTGGAAAGTAGCAAGAAAAGAACTGCCAGAGAGGCAAAATTTTAACTCTTTCATAAGTATATTCATGAATTTGAAATTAAAGAATGAATCAAATTTCAATTATAGAAGAGATACAAGTAAAAATTAAACTACACTAAATATTTAGGTCACAAGTGATTAGAGATAGGAACTCTTAAAATATTTAGCTGTTAAAAATATATATACATCAGTTACACATATGGATATGCATATATAATGGTACATATAGAGTATACATGTTTCCTGAAAATGAGATACTTATCACATAAAATAGTCTTTATGAAGACATTATCAACATTTGCATTAATTCTAAATGTTAGTTTAACAAAGTTTCCTTTGTACTGAGTAGGTAAATCATTATTTCTCTTAATTTTTGTTATAATCATCACTTGTGCTGTGTCCACTTGAAAAACCATAAAAAGCTAACTAATAAATTCAAATAATGACATTACAATAAATAGTAGACCTGACGGTTCAGTATAAGCACACAATGACTACAACGTTTTATCTTGTAATTTTTCTACAACTTAATACAGTCTTTTCAGTACGAACGCACCATGTGAGGATCGCAGCTGATAGACAGTATGTTGGGATCTTCTAAGAGAGCAGCATTAGGTGCCCTTACCACACTGCCACACAAGAAGCTTGGAAGGTGATGGGCTAATTTGCCCTCGTGTAATAATTGTTTCATCAATTATATCAAAACATGCTGTGCTTTCTAACTGTATACAATAAAAAGCTGTCTTCCACACTAACAACAAATGAATCCAGAAATCAGTAATTTATTTTATAACTAAATTATAATAGAAATGTTATGTCATATTAAAGGAAAGGAATATTTAGAAATTACAATATGAAGAGCTGAAAATAGTTCTCTTAACTCAAAACTGACATTTAAGGAAACAATTTCTCCAATTTGGATGTTTTGTTTTTATCTGAAAGCATCAAATAGGACCATAAAATCTCATTTTTTTTATGTAAACATCTATTCACCATGGCAAATAGATCATATTCCTTTATTAAATCAGGAAACAAGTTTACAAAATTTTTTAAAGACATTAAGGCTTGAAAACAGAGGATTCATCAAACTGATGATGACAGAAAAACCAGCAAAATCAACAGCACACATATCATTAGTTTCAAGTTAATAAATGTTCTCCAGTTAATGCCAGTGGCCAGCCAAGCTTTCTACATGTGTAGAATAATTTCTCCATCGGAGTTATTTTAGGTTATAAAATCAGCATTCATTATCAATATGCTGTGATTAAGCAATTCTAACCTATGAAAATATCAGTTTAATACATGGAAAAATCAAAGAAAGTAATTACAAAATTAGTCCCATGAGGGTGGAGAAAGTTATGTTTTCCTTTTGTGTATAACTGTTAACTCGAAGGCACTTCTAACATAGGAGATGATGAACTATCAGATGAGTGGGTTTTCTTTGCAAAGGCCTGAAGTTGTAGTACAGCTTTATTGGCTCTTTCGCATACTCAAGACTGCTAGTTTAAGGACCTGTCACTTCCAAACCTTAATGTTAACAATGGGGCAGTGTAACTATGGGACCTGTAGGACTGATTAGACTGCAAGGGCTCCACCCTGCCCGAGTGGCACTGGTGCCCTAGGATGAGGCCAGTTCACTCCCTCTTGTTCTCTCACCCCCACCCCCCACCGCCACCTTCTGCCATGTGACCACACAGCATGAAGTCCTTCACCAGATGCCAATGCCTTTACCTTGGACTTCCTTCCTTCCATCTATTTATGTTCTTTATAAATTACCTGGTCTCAGGCATTCTGCTATTGCACCACAAAGGAGAACAAGAGAAAGGCACACTGAAACGCGTCTTGGACACTTGCACTTTGCAGTGCCAGGCTATCTAGGAAAGCTGAGCATTAAGGATGGAGTTGTGCTCCACTCTGCCACCAACCACGAGAAAGGAGGCGAGAGATGTGGCCATTCTGCCTATCAGTTTTCTAACCTGTAAACCTCGACAGAATGGTAATAACTAAGTTTTACTGCCACTGCCAGTTCTGCAATTTTGTTATTTGTACCTCCATTCAAGAATTCTTTTTAACCACTTTCTAGTACAATTATTTAAATGAAGGATGACCAAAAGTTGCATATTTTTTTGTTAATTATTATAAGATAACAGGAAATATAAAAATGAAATTTTTTTTCACATTTATTCACTACAAAGAATGGACTTGTTGAACAAGGGGGAAAAATTGAGAACCAAGACCTGTCACGTAAAGGTACAAGATCCCAATGATGAATGCAAATGTACTGTACACCTAAAATGCACCAATAAACTAAATGAGAGAAAAAAAAAAAAAAGAATGGACTGGTTGAAATGACACCTGCCTGAGTGGTGCTCAGGACATTCAGTACGTAAACAAACGCACTGCCTGAGTGACACTTGGGGTGAACTGTTAAGTGGCTAAAGTCAGTTTTCTAAGGACACTTACAATGTGATTTGGTCTATGGAAGTTTTATTGGTGAAAACCTGTAGAAATTTATTTTTGATAACAAATGAGAGACATATATTGCTTTGATTCTGACACTTTGCCAGTTGGGACAAAATTTTAAGTAGCATCAACACTTATGCAGAAGCTTTATGTATTTGACACAAATACAATACCTAACTTTAGAAAAAGATGGACTTTCAGACAGTCCCCAACTTATGATGGTTCTGCTTAATTATTATTATTATTTTTTTTGGCACTGGGGATCGAACTCAGGCCACCAAACCGCTGAGCTAAATCCCAGGCCCCCTGCTTAATTATTTTTTAAGATGGCAAGAAAAGTCAAAACCTTTCAGTTGATTATATTTCAGTTGGTTATATTTCAACTTTGAATTCTCCATGCCACCAATAAGTGTCATACAATGTTCTCTCTTGCTACAGTGTAGAAGTCAGTCATGCGATCAGGAGGGTAAATCATTCTACAGTATACTATGTTGCTAAGCTATGTAGTAAAGTAAGTTGCTAAATGTATTTTCAATTATATTTTCAGCTGAGAAGTTTACAACGGATTTATGAGAGTATAATGCTATTGTAAGTTTTATGGTAGTTGATTATCTAATTTCTATGCACTATTTCAATAATCAAATGTTTATGTATGAATTTCATTTTACTTTTGGAGTTAAAGTAATCTATGATGTTCTGTTTGTCACCAAACTATTCATATTCTATGGTAACTACATATTTATTTGTCTGTCTTCCTTAGTGAATTATAAGCTCCATGATAAAATAAAGACTGAATACTCCTTAACTGAAAAGTTTGGGAACAGACATATTTTAGTTTGGGTTCTAGAAGATATACATTCTAAAGAGAGAGGTAGGGGAGACATATAGCGAGGAGGGGACCCAAGTCTAACCATAAAATTCATTCATGTTTCATATACACCTTATACACATAGCCTGAAGGTGATTTTATTTGACATTTTTATAAATACTATAGTGTTTCTATATTTTGAATACAACTGGTCCCGCAAAGTACAGTACACAACGTTCCACTTGTGGTATCATGTTGGTACTCAAAGTCTGGGGCTTTGGATTTTCAGATTTGCGACGCTCAACCTACAGGCAGAGGCTGGAATCTGGACATACTGTGTGGATCGCCAGCCAGCGTTCACCTACTTTTCTCCTTGACCAATAGAGTAGGTTTTCTCACCATAAGCTATAAGTAAAGGATCCAATGTTCCTAAAGAATTCAGTTAAATTATATAACTACAGAATGTGGAGCCAAAAAGGGTAAACACACTTACCGGGGCAAGTTTGCGCTTTTCCAGGTTCTCTTTCCTTTCACTGTGTAATGTGTAAACTGGTGTATGTTGTACTGTACCAGAACAGGCCCCACAATCTTCCTCATTTTCCTACACATGAAAAAATGTACAAATGATTATTTTAGAATATTCCTGCTATTGCTAAAGTTATTTGATTAACAGAAGACATCTGATATACGTGTAAATAACAAAATAGAACTTTGGATATTATAAGTTTAAGAACATATTTAGGGAGAAACTGCATTTTTCTATACTATGAATCAATAATTTCTAAAATAATCTTGTTTATTTTGGATAATTTAAATAAAATTTGTTCTAAGATAATGTGTTCTCCATAACTATCACTGGAAGTTGTAAATAGTATGTTTTTTCAAAGGTAAAATTCAAAACGTAACAACTGTAAATAAAATCTGCAAATATATAAGGTAATCAAACCAAACATACAGATATGTACACATGAATATTCATATACTTATAATCGTCACAAATTCAAATATAAATCCTCATCTAAAATCTTTTGTACATTGACAAAATTCTTCAATTTAAAATATTGGAAAAGCCCATAAAAACCAAATAATGACATTACTAGATTAATTCTATGCCAGGAATATCTTTTTTAAAAATGTTTAGCTTGAAGGAAGAACTTCAACTATGATATCAAGACAACTCTATGAAAACATACATCTTGTTAATGTATCTTTAAAGATTTCTACAGTTCTGTGATAAGCATGCAACAATAAGGAGATTATTCAGGGGATGCATACAGAGTGCAGTTAGTTGCCAGAGGGCTTGTTATGGAAAATATATTCTTGAACAAAGACATAAGCATATTTCAAAAGTCACTAAAAAATAAATTTCATGTGGTCTGTAAAGAATAAGTTTCGCTGGGCGTGGTGGTGCACACCTGCAATCCCAGCACTTTGGAGGCTGAGGCAGGAGGATTGCTGTGAGTTCAAGACCAGACTGGGATCCATAGTGAGTTCCAGGTCAGTCTCGACTACATAGAGAGACCCTGTCTCAAAAATCAAAAAACCAAAAACCAAAAGCCAAAACAAAACAAAAAAAAGCTTCAAGATAATATAAGAATCCAGGTAGAATAAAAAGAATAGGACATACCTTATGTTTTAGCTTACTCTTCACTTCCTTTAATCCCAGCTTTGCATGATTTTTTGCCTGGAAAACAATAATAAATGTGTCTGATTTAGAATGGTTCTGTTATCATTTATAAAATAAGTATATAAAATTATGTCCAATGAAAATTACTATTCATATAATTTAACAAAGAAGATTATAATTTATTTATTTTTTCTTATTGAGTTTATTGGTACTTTTTAAGTATACAGTACAGTTACATTCATCATTGGGATCTTGTACCCTTACATGACAGAACTTGGTTCTCTTATTTTTCCCCCATACCTCTGCCCTGCCTTCACCCCCTCCACCTTCCCCTATTTACAAAGACTTTGTTTCCACTTTTTTCTTTTCTTATATTTTTTGCTTGTCCTTTATTTCCTTTCCCCTACCCTTCCTACTTTCCCCTCCAACTTTAGCCCTTTTCTTCCTATTTCACTTTATCAGTTATACAATTTGGATCTTATTTACACTTTTAGTTTTTCACACCAGAGAAACTATTCGGTATTTACACGTGTCTTTTTTATTTCACTTAAGAGTATGGCCTCAATATGCATCCATTTTTCTATTAATGACTCTAGTTTCTCATTCTTTGTGGATGAGTTGTACTCCATTTTACAGAAAAACCACATCTTCTTTATCCAATCTCCAACTGATGGGCAACTGGGCTGTTTCCAAGTTTTAGCTATTACAAATTGTGCCACTATAAACATAGATGTGCATATATCACTGTGATATGATTCTTTTAATTCTTTTGGGAAGATACCTAGCAGAGGGATGGCTGGGTCAAAAGTCACAGCTCTTTGAGGTATCTCCATATTGATTTCCCCAGTAGGTGCACCAGTCTGCACTCCCACCAACAATGGAGAAGGGCTCCTTTCTCTCCATTACCCCACCAGCATTTGTTGTTGATTTCTTTATAGCAGCCATTCTTTGTGGGGTGAGGTGGAATCTCAGTGTTGTTTTCATCTGCATCTCTCGAATGACCAGTGATGTGGAACATTTTTTTAATATATTTGCTGTTTTTACTTCTTTGAGAAATGTCTGTTCATTTCAGATGTTCATTTTTTAATTGGGTCTTTATATTTGGGGGGTCTGATTTTTTTGAGTTCTTTATATATTCTAGGTAATAATCCTTTGTCTTAGAAGCAGCTGGTAAAAAATTTTTCCCACATTTTTCCCACAGGTTGTCTTTTAGCTTTGTTGGTGGTTTCTTTTGCAGTGCAGAAGCTTTTTAATATGATGAGATCCCAGTTGTTGATTCTTTTTGTTAGTTCCTGTGCTACTAAGGATTTGTTCAAAAAGTCTTTTCCTATGCCAGTGTCTTCAAGAGTTCTGCCTAACTTATCTTTCAGCAAGTTTAGAGCTTCTGTTTTAATGTTTAGATCTTTAATCCACTTAGATTTTAGTTTAGTGCATGGTGAAAGGATCCCCATGAGGCTTGGCAGTAGGCGGTTCTCCAAAGGATTATAATTTAAAACTATGTGCAGGAAAATTATCCATTTATTTCTTGTTATACCTAGATAAACTGATTAAAAACACGATGAGCCTCTGTTCACATATAAATATATGAAGGCTAATGTTTAGCCTATTTGGCCTCATAAAGTATAAAGAACACAAAAGGAAATCAACCAGACTGCTAATGTTTAGTCTTGAAATTATAACAAATTAGGGACAAAGAGAAATCACATCACAGAACAAAGTTATTTGGGCAAATATTTCAATTTGAAGAAATTTAGGCAAGTGTTTTACAGGCACTTCAGTAAGACTTTTTATTAGCAAAGCTATCTTGATATGGCTATTTTGTAAATAGATTTTCTGGTAAAAATGAAAAGCAATTTAACGATTTAAATGCTATCCTCACGTCTCGCTGGACTTTGGTACCAGCATCTGCGTGGCTCAGACCCTGCTGTGAACCCTATGAAGTATAACTGCGAAAGCAGGGGCTTCATAAAGGCGCCAGCCTTTGTGCCATCTGAAATCTCCACTCAGTGCAGAGAGCAGAAAAGAAAAAAGGAATTCATGCTTATTTTGTGTTTCCTAAATATAAAACTGCACTGGGTGCTTAGCATGCATTATCTCTTTTAGTCATCGCGATAACTCTATGAAATTAGTACTATTATCATCATATTTTACAAATAAGCAATGTGGCTCGGGAATAAATCCACACTTATGGCTTAGATTCAAAGCTAAGTCTAATTATAAAGTCCAACTTCTTACCTTCTCAAAGAGGAAGGACGAAAGAACTTTTAAAAAACATATCTAACGAATTTCAGTCTCACCAAAAAGAAGGCATCATGAGCTACAACTACAGACCCAGAAACTGATGACCAGCAGACCCAAACCCTTCCTCAGACTACAACATCCTGCTTTAGCAAGATGCTTCTAGGAGGAGTAAATACGTGACTTTCCCAGGTCCCTTGTTTCTTTCTTTCTCCTATCTGCAGTACCCAGTAGTACTACATACGTAGCTGCTCAAGGAATGCCTTGAACTGAATGAAAAAACACTCTTTATTGTAACTGAAGCAAAATGAAAATATTACACTTATTAAAAGATAATCTAAACAAACAAATAATACTAAATTCTAGCCTATGTTTTTTCAGAATTTTATAAAGTACTGTCACAGTCATTATTTTAATTGAACAGTCACTGAAAAAATGACTCATATTAATCCCTATATTTCCATTACGTAAAAAAATACAATACCAAGGAAAATGCTCTGTTTTCATCTCCTAAAATTTGCACCCATATGTGGTTTGCTCACATTTGGAGTGTGCTCTGGCTTACTCAAATATCTTCTCATGCACTTCAGGAACTAGTGTTTTCAGAGGTTCCTTAGTGAATACAGATGACTCTAGTGTTGGTTTGTCCGTGGTCCTGGGGGTGTGCTAAGTAATTTAAATGCCTACTGCCCTCTCTCCTTCTTGGGTCTCTGTCCTATTATCCAGAAGATGGAATACAACTTCTTTCCATTTTTTCCATTTTACCAACCTGAAATGTCACAATATATGACAAATATTCTCTATAAAAACGCATCAAGTAAATGGCTTTGTCCAGGGGCCTAACAAAAAGATAATTTAGGAAAAGCTCTTAGGCAAATCAAGAGTGCTCTTCCCTTCGTGGTGATTCTTAGATTTATGAGAGCAGGTTTGTCATCTCTGATTTTCTTTATGACCCTGGTAAGTATGTAAAAACATAAGCATATAGAGCACAGAAAACAATTTCTATGCATAGAAATATGCATCAAAACTGCTGCAAGTACAGAGCAAAATCATGATTCACTTCAACAAATACATACTTAGTGCTTCTGTAGTACAGCAAACAGCAAAACAATGGAGATACAAATATAAACGCTGGGATAGAGTGTCTCCTACTAACCTTAACAATGCTCAACTCTGATATGAGCAAAAGGCCTACTTCATGACAGATACTCAATTTGTTTAAATGAAACAGAGGTAAATACATGGTAAGATATTTTTCACTTTTGAAAACTTTACATTTTACAGAAAATGAAGGTAAATAAAGTCTGTTATACACACATAACAGAAATTGGGGATTTGTTCATTGCAATTTGTGGTCACAAAAGGAATTTCAGCTTCCAGATTTTGAATACGAGCAGTCTGGAAAGACAAGTTTTATGTGAAACTATGAAGGTCACAAAATGATTTGTTTTCTTCCTGAAACCTTCTGATTCAAGTCTGACACGATCACAAGAGAAATGACATAAAGAGTTAAGATCTTAAGTTTGTCTGAAATAAAATTAAGGAATAATCCCACAAAAGGCAAAATTTTGAATTCAGAAACATTTTACTGCCTTGTAGAGAAGGTTTCAAGGGAGAACATTCTTCTTACAGGGTGAAAATTGTAAATAATGAATGAGGCTTTAAATAAGCTTTCGTTATTTATTGTATTGTAATGAAAGACATAAGTAAAATTAAGAAGGAAAACATATTTCGCATAATAACGTAACTTCTTTAAGCTGGAAAAAATTCTTCAATTTCTTGCTCCAGGAATTAAATGAGGGCCTATTGGCCATTAAAAGTCTTTTTAGAAACTTAATTTATGTGTGTTTCAGAAATAAGGCTCAAAATTATTTGGTTTTCACTTGGTACCTGTGAAAAAATATCTCTCCAAAGTCTATACTTAAACCTACCTTCTAGAGATAGCTAGCTACTCAGAGATTTTTTAGCAAAGTCATGGGAAAAACAAACAGCAGAGGCTGATGTTTCTAAGATAATTATTTCTTAATTTTGCTTGATGACAAAGCTTCAAATAATTCAGAATGTTGGTACTGTATTTTTGAATTAACTCTGTATATTATCGGCTCTACTATAAAAGGTTATCTTTGAAATAGAATTTTTAAACAAAAAGAATACTTTTTTGGGGGGTAGTGGGGATCGAACTCAGGACCTGTGCTTGCAAAGCAGATAGTGGAACCACTGAGCTAAATCCCCCACCCTAAAGAAAAAAAAGTATTTTAAGTCAAGGAAACAAAAGTTCTAAATATTTATTAAAATTTTTTTACTCAATCACATGAATTTATTTGCTGAAAGTATTTGAAGACAAATTCTCATAAAATCATAAGGACTGGCCTAGTTTTATAAAAACAGATTCTATATGACCTACTGAATTAAAATAAACTGTTTTAAATGAATAACCATCCAAGACTTCTCCTACAAGGAGCTACCAGTGTAGTACTAAAGATAAAAACATACACAAACAAAGCAAGTACTAAAACAAGTTCTTACAGTGACTGTGGGAACACAGAAATAGCAATGTAAATTCTTTTTCTTAGTGGGGTTGGGAAAAGTTTTTGAAGAGCAAACAAATGCTTGAACTGTCTTATAGGATGAGCTGGTGTTTACTAGGTGGATATTGAGCAAAAACTGGGTGTTCCAAGTAGCAGGAACAACTTGAGCAAGAGTAAGAAGACAGAAGAGGGTATCTGGCATTAAAGGAATAAGGAGTACTGGGTACCTTTATAAGAATGCAAGCTGCAGGGGATCAGGGCGGAATGGAATAGGACAGAGGAAGGAACAGTCCTTGAAGGAGCTTAGTTGTCATATGAAAGATTTTTATTTTATTGCTCGCTTAATGTTATTAATATAACATAAGCTATGGCAAATCACTAAAATTGTTTAATTATGGTGAGTCAATGCATCTTTGAGAAAAGAAATAATGCCCATATTTCTTTATTTTTCCACTTTAGCCTCAAGTATATGATGGAAATTTTAAGTACGTTTCTTATGAAAGAATCTAATTTACAAAGGTGTTCTTGAATTGTTTCGATTTGACGTGAACTGTTTTGATAGCTTTGAAATAAAATAAAGAACCATTTTTAGATTATATAAAGGAAATATTCTTTGTATACAATAACATAATTTAACAAATTAATTTGCTTTGGTTATTACTAACTGTAAACATTTTTAAAAAATAGATAATATTTTGAAATTACATGTCTATTTTCCAGAGCAATACATAGTTTAATCAGTAGAATTTTTATCAAAACAAAACTTACAAATTTATATGCTGTCCGTACAGCAGGAGTTGCTTTGGTCATTGCTGTGTTGAACAGTGCACCTCCTTTCTGCAAAAGGAAAACAGCATGTTTTCAAAACTTTTTGACAAACTATCCTGAAAACAAAGCATTATTAGTAACACAGAGCAAGAACCTTACTCCAAAGTAAAACAGAATTCTAAAAATTATTTCATGTTGAATGTTTTTAAAGTTTTCTGCACTATAATAATTTAAAACAAAATAGGAACATTTCATTTTGTCCTTTCAGTTGGTGTAATACATCATTTGAAATCATTTCATCTTTGAAGTTTAGGCAGATGAGTAATAAGGATAGTAATATAGCACAAATATATTTAAAGAATAATAAAAAAGAAATACAATGTTTTTCAGCTGTTTCAGTGCTGGGCAATAAAGTTTTATTCTATGGAAGAGTTTAATATAAAAATCACATTAACTTTGTAAATAGGGAAGGGTGAAGGGAGGGCAGGGGAATGGGGAAAACACAAGACCAAGATACATCAAGTAAAGGTACAAGATCCCAATGATGAATGTAACTGTATTGTTTACCTTAAATATATCAATAAACTTAATGAAAGAAAATCACATTAACACAATTATGTTACCAGGAATTATAAAATTTCCACCAAAGCCTATTAGTCCATCTAACTCCTTGTTCTGTAATAGAACAGAGTGACAACACCTGCTTCTCAAAACAAGCTACTTATCTCTGAAAAAGTTTTCATTACAATTTTCTTTATGATTATCAACACGACTATGAGTACTATACACATGTATTGAAAGTGTGAGACTCTAGGTGCTCATTTCAAGTATTACAAATAAACTTCATGACTATAAATAGCATACTTTTACTGAATATTTCTCCATCATTATTACTATGAAAGAAGAGACATCAAAGATTCAGTGTTACCTTAACTGTATGCATCCACTGTTGATACGACCTTGGATTCCCTGTAAAATATCAAAGTGTCCAGGAACATTTGACCAAAAGTAAGTCCACAAATCAAAATTAATCACAAGAAGTCATATTTTTAACATTTTAGTAGGCAAATTTTAATTTCAATGTTGTCAAAGAGTCAATATATTTGTAAAAATTGATAAATTAATTCCCAGGAACACAGTAATTAGCACTTTTAAAAATAGACAATGTTTTCTTCATCTATATACTAAGCTAATATATTAATCTGTGTTCATTTTAATATTTGTTCCCCAGGGGAAAATGTAACCTCTATTTTGAAGTCCAAAATTCTATGACTTTAAAACTGATTTTTCTATATTGTATGCCTAGGATATTTTGTAAAGGCTTTCCTCTGTACATAATTATATTCATTTAAAATAATATTTCAAATGCATAGAGAATAGATTTTTTTAAAAAACAGTATCAGTCTGTTGTTACAAAATAGAGGCAGGGTGATTCCAGCCCAAGAATTTCTTTGCAGCTGTTATCCAGCTCTGGATTCATGTTTCTACTTCAAATCTTTCTCTAATTTAAAAGAAACTTCAAGAAACAACTTCCTTATAAACAACTTTTTACCACTCGGCGTGGCACTGTGCCTTTTTTTGGGAGAAAGAAGTACAGAAGAAAATATTTTTTCTTATTTCATCAAATTATTATAGAAAAATGTATTTACAAAAAATAATGTATGTACAGTAATCTGATTGCTTAAAAGGCACAAGGGCTCCAGGTGGCAGTGGCCTAATCAAAGTTTTAAAGGTATATTCGTTTCCCTTCTAAAATAATGGCAAGTTCCAAGTTATCCCATCAATTTATTTATCCAGATTTTACTAACAAAAAACAAACTGCATATCACTCAAATCATTCATTTACTTCTTTATTTAAAATTCCCATTCTTTTTTTTTACTTCCTTATTAAAAATGTGTAGAAATCACATATTTAAGACTTAGATGTTACAGTTATTCTGTAGAGGATTTTAATTATTTTTCCAAGATGATTTTAAATAAAGCAGAAATGCCAACAATACAATGGCAATTTAGCATCCTGGAACATATGTCAACCCAGACAATGTTTAAACATCTGAACCACACACACACACACACACACACACACACACACACACACACACCATTTAAAAAAATACTTCAGAGTAGTTATAAAAAGGCTGTTTTATGGAATTGAAAGATACAAAAAAAAGCCGTAAAATGTGTTTACCTATATGGCATTATTTGAATTGCATTTCCAAAATGCAAAACAGGCAAAGCAGCCAGTGCCATAGGCAGCACAATTTAATAAGGAAGGGGCCTCTGAAATTAAGGCACCTGTGTGGTTCATGCCCGATCCGGGAGGGATGTGACCTTGGCCTAGTTACTTAACCTGGCTGGGCTGCACCTTCTTCATGCATCGCATAAGCCTAATAGCTACAGCCACTTAGAATTGTTGCCAGAATAAAAGACACTGACTACACAATGTCTAGTACAGTCCCTAACACATCCTAACACTATAAATGGTAATCAGTACAAGTAAATTGCCAAAAAAGGAATGGGGTTCTGAAACGATGTGTCACTTGCTCTGGAAGGCTAGCAAGTGAGAAAGAATATGAATCTAGTATTTTAATTCATGGCCCATTAGTCCTTCAACTCTGAAACACACCCTCTAAGACTTTAGTAAAATATAGTAAAACTTAAACTACGTAGAGGTTTTCGCTGCACCTCTTTCAGAGCAATCGCACTAGAAAGGGGACGAGGCTGCTCTAAGTGAGCACCTTTAAAGGAAAGGTAATAATAAGAATTGGCAGTAATAATCTAGAATTATAAAATATGAGGGCAAAGAGGAATTCCCTAGGTATAAGCACACTGCTTAAGATGACAGGGCAATGTGGTACAGCAGATTTTAAAAAGATTCCTATTTTTTCAATTTTAAGGGCTATCTCTAAATTTTAATGTTTCTATGACTTAAGGTCTGTATCTCCACAAAATGTAGGAGACTCGCACATAATCCTTTGGTAATATGAAAAAACGAGGCCACTTTTTTTTGTCTTTAATTTACACTTTATTTATCTCACTAAGAATTATGACAGGTTTGTTACCAGAATCCATTACTCTCAATGTAATTGGATTTAAACACAGGCAGATATTTGAGGGAATTTGTGGTTTTTTAGAATTGGTCGACTTGAACGAGGCCACTTTTTAAAAAATATTCATTTGTATGTCAAAATAATACCTCAGTCTTTCTTTTACACTTGATCTTAGCCAAAAGGCTGAGAAGCGATTCAGTCTTTTAAATTAACTATCTATGACAATTCAGAAGCACATTTGAGGATATCCTTACTACTATTTTCATTAATTAAACAACTGGTTTTGTCATACTCAAGAACAATATATCTTGATTTTTGTGTCAAGACTTTTTCTTTAAATGTATTTGAAACTCTAGTAATTCACAATTATTTATCAATAAATATAAAGAGGTCTACATTATTCAATTTGGCCAGAGAAATGCCACTAAAAATGATAAATGCCTATCACTTTTAAACCCTTTAATAGTTTAGTTTGTAAAAAGAAACATAAATAAAAGACTGACCCAATTATACCAGGAAACTAATGAAGAAACACATGCTATTAATGAATATCCATATATTCATACAAAAGCAATCTGAAAATATTTCGCCTTTCTAAAGTTTACCCAATTTGATATAGTTTTAAGAACTAGTTTCATTTTATAAGTGGTTATAAAACCATGTTCTTAACAATGTTCTTTGGTGGCTTTTTCATAGATTTCATAGATTTGTATTGACTTAATTGAGGCCTTTGTTGTACTGAGGTTCTGTTTTATCATCTGTTAATCTCCATGGGTATTGTTTTACAGATTTCCTTATGTCTTCATTATTTTCCTTTTAAGCTAAGGTTGAGTATTCTGCAAGAGTCTTATGAAAGGAATCATGTGTGAGGAAATCATGTATTTCCTTAACAATTCCCTTGGGACAGAAAAAAATTTTGGAAAATCTCCATACAGTCACAGATTTTTATGGCTCGAGTTTCAAATGGCATTTAAGGTGTTCTCTATCTGACTGACTTGAATTTTTAATTAGAAACATAATTGTAAAGCATTACCATGCTTATACTAATTTTATAACTGTGAACGTTAGCAAAAAAATAGTGCATAAACTACTAGTAGTACTGATGTATAAAAGTGGAAAAAATATTTTTTTCTCCAAAATTTACTAATTATTTTTGCTTAACATAATACATTTTTTCCTTCAGTTTTAGTTTTTGCTGGTTTCTCATACAGTGATCTTTCCTGGGCTTTGTGTGTAAAAGAAATATTTAAAAGACAGAAGAGACTAACTAGAGTTTTGCTTTTAGTCAATTATATAAGGGAGAGCCTGAGTAAAACTAGTTACAGAATGTTTTCATATCAAGATTCTAACATTTAAAAATCAATGCATTATAGTTGTTAAAGCAAGACTTTGAGTTCAGGTTCTGGCCTTTTCTTGGTATGTGACCTTAAATGAATTACTGAGTTGAGAATCCCCTTACCCCAAAATGGGATGATCAAAGGGCCTTTTAGAGTATATAAAGTCTAAGATACACTTGTAGATCTTTTATGTGAGTTTTTGTCACGCATTAGTGCTCAATAAATATTGTAATTACTAAAATTACTACACGAGAATCAATAAAGTTAAATCTGTTTTCTTCTTGGAAGAACAGGTGAGCTTCACAACAGAGAATATTGTTTCTCATAAGTATATTCTGTATGACAAGTTTGGAGCAGACTCTAGAAGGTACTTTTGGAAATAAATACACACATGCATATACAGACACATAACTTACATAAACAGATACCTTCTAATTAGTTGTTAGAAAAATATTACTAATTTGTATTAGATTATTTATTTTTCATATTTTAAATCCTAAAAAATGTCTTTATTTTCTTCTAGAAATAATTGCTATACATATATAAAATAGAACTAAAAATAACACAAGGCATAATTTTTAAGGTAAATTCTTGCTCATGGAAATTAACGATGGTTGAAATAGGCTTTCTTTTCAATAAGTATTACTTCAAAATAAGAATTTAGAACTTTTTTCATGGTAATAAAGGGCCAAAAGCAATTGTCATTAAATCATACTAAAATATAGCACTGTTTAAGTCAGATGACAGTGTTCCCCTATTCTTCTTAAGAAATAAGACTTTTCGTAAAAATTTTTAGTTACCCTCTTCTACCACACACACACATTCACACACAAAGCCACTTCCCCAAATTACGGAACTTAACTGTACAAAAGGATCATAGTTCTACCCCATTACTGTCACAGGATGTCATCTTCAATTCTATAAAAGCGACTAGCCCCAGAGGTCATAAAGATAATGAGACAGCAGTTATGTAAATACTGACTAGATGCCTCAAGCAATTTGTCCATAAGCTGACAATATTTTGCTTGTCTGAGTTGAAAAGTAAAAAAGCGTTATTTTAATACAAAAGTTCCATTTGAAGGTAAATCTTTATCCACAAGCTGAAAACTAAATGATTTAACATTCAGCTTACTTGCTGAGTCAAATAAACTAACTTTTTCTCTAAGCTAAATGCTTTCAGTTATATGTACTTACATCAGATGAAAGTCTACCACTGCCAAGTTCATTCGTATTTATTTTAATAACAAATGATCTCCATATATTTTCTATATTTTTATCATGTGAAAATTCTTATTTAAGAATAAAATTAAATTTGTGAAATTTATAGATGGCTACTGATTCCTTTTTGTCTTCTCATATTTTATTTTGAATTCTAGGAACTACTTAGACATGTATAGATGAAATTGTTTTTCTTTCCTTTTGAGGCAGGGACTCACTATGTAGCCCCATTGGGACTAAAATTTTCAGGGATCCTCTTGCCTCACCCTCCCAAGTGCTGAGATTATACCACCATGCCAGGCAGAGGTAGAAAAATACTATTACACTAGGTCAAAACTTAACATGCCAAAGGGATTTTTATTTCTTTAGTTTACCTAATATCTAGAACAGGACATAGGACCCAGCAATACTGGTTGAATGAATGAACAGAACACTGCAAGGATTCAAGCAAAATTCTATGCAAGTCAAGATTATATATAAAATGACAGCATACAATATATAGACTTGTAGATCATTAACTAATTATAACACCAAATATCTATGTTTGAAGAATTTATATTTGTGGAATGGTAAATTTAAAACTTTCCTAAAGCAACAATGGTCAGCAAAGTAACAAAGGTAAAGATTGCCCGGTCAGAATACATTTACTTAAAAATGTAGATGAGTGTAATGCTCAATTATTTTCTGGATTATATTACAATGTACTAATTCAACCATAATCTCAGTTTTTCAATTCATACTCAGTTACGGCTACTATCATTATTCATTTTGTAGCAGAGACTACTACTATTCAGGAGGAAAGGTTATAGCATAAAAACTGACTGGATTTCTGCATTATTTTCAATAATATTAATAAATCATCTGAGCCAACAGCTACCAATTTATGAGACAATCTTAATGCTTAGAATATCAGATACTAAGCAAATTAAGTTGATATCACTGCTCTTATAAGATGAAAAAAAATGTATTTAAGGCATATACATACACATATAAGGAAAATTCCTGTATATGAAACAGATTACAAATGCAAAAATCAAGACAATTGCCATTTAGAAGATGCATAATCATACTGTAAATATTCCATACCTCCACAAAAGCCACCTGATGTGATCTCTTCTTCAAAGATATCAGAGAAACCCCTTCCTGCATTTAGTTTTGCCAGTCGACCGTCAATAAACTGAAATTTTTAAGTGCCAAATATGTTAATTTTTGTTAGTTTTATAATATTAAATTGTTACCTATATTAAAAATATTGGCATAGGATTCCCAAATAATTATACATATAGGTGAGGTATACAAATATACGTAAGAAATTTCTCACACAAAGCGAAGAGCAGGTGCTCGGTAAATAAGAGCTAATTAGTTAGAATACAAAGGTCCAGCACAGACTCTAACTCATTAAAAGAAACAGCAAAGTTCAGCAGCCAAGGTCACAGGCTGCAGGTAGCTGCCCAGCACACACCTCTGCGGAGCAGTAAGTCTGCGCAAAAGCACTGCTGCTTCCCAAGCTGCTTATCCAGGACGATGGATCCCCTCAGCAGGCCTCAGCTCTCCCAGGACTTAAAGATTGGAGAAGTAACACAAGATGTTCATATTCATTCTGAAACTAATTCTGACTAATTTTATCCTAGAAATTTAAATTTTAGTTGAATGAAAGTGAAGTAGCTTCACTTAAAAATATTCGCAGACTATACTAGTGTTCTATTTGACTGCTTAATGGACAAAACTAACTGAGAAGGCTTGTGTAGAGAAATAGTTTTCCTCAGGGAGCAGTAACGGCAATGTATACACAAGTTATACTTTAAAACTTTCGGACAAACTCCTTTTGCAGATTAAAATTAAAAAGTAATGTCAAATGAGTCAAGGGATTCCTGGTGAAAATGTGTTTTAATCGTATTTTTATTTTATCACAGAATGCTTTTGACCAAAAATTTGATAACACGGATTTAAATGAATTAGCCTAAAATGATAGTCTGGCCTTTTGGAGCTTGAGCTGCTCTCAAGAACTTTGAATTCTGAGAGCAGACACCACAGATAACCCATTTTTGTAACCTCAGTATGCCTGACATGCCGAAGGTTTCCAGTATAAACACACATGGAGTCTGTGAAAGGCCTACATCACAACTCCACCCTTGACTGGACAGAAAACCTTGGGCAACTTCTCATAACTGAGACTCTGTTCCCCTTTCTATAAAATGAGAATAATAATAAGTACAGTATGGAATTTTATGAGAAAGAATTAAAATGATATGAAATGCCTATAATTGCATAGATAGAATAAAGGCTGAATAATAAAAGTGTACGTTTCCATCTCTATTTGTGAGCAGCCTGAGGAAATCTTTCTCATGTACACAACATCAATACCTGGCAAAAAGCATGGCACACAGTTTTTATTGTAGTTGTTTGGCGCTGGGGACTGAATTCATGGCTTTGCACTCTACCGCTACGGTACCTGCTGGGCCAGAAATGAATTTCAAATGCTGCTGACCAAAGCATGCTGAAACAATGCTACGGATGATGCACTTTTACCAGGTTTTAAAGATAAATACTTATATCATATAGAAGCACTTCATTTCATCCTATCTTGAGGTCAGAGCTAGTAATATATAATTTTGGTATTTTGGGTATGTACAGTTAGTGATTAATTTTTAAAAACCAGCAATTTTAAATACACATAAAACTTGATTTTACATGTTTTTAACACAGCAGTATAAATCAAATTAAAGTGATCTAAGTTGATGTAGTATGTATCACCTTTTAAAAAACAAGGTGAAGGCAAAATGATACATTTATAATAGTAGATTACTGGCATATAGAACTAAAACACCCTTTTAGGGGACTTAGTTTGCTCTAAAAAGGTTAAGTCAAGAAGACTTCTTAAAAGGTTTCATTTTTCTGTTTATTGAAAATAATCCATCCATTTTATTAAATGAGTAGAATAGTTCAAGTCTAAAAAGAGATAAATCCCAAAAGTATTTACTGATCATGCATTTTTGAGCATGAGTAACTACTCTGTGTTACTAAACTAGTGATTTGAGCCAAAATAAATTAATCATTTGGTAAAATGCCACATCTTATCGCTGACTTTCTAAACAATCCTGTCAGCAACAATCAGACACCAATATACACAGCATGAAACTGTTTGCAAAGTACTGATTGACTGCATGCAAATACTCCTGTGCACTATATGTACACACACACACACACACACACACACACACACACACACACACAGATATCCAGAAATAAACAGAAAAAGGTATTAAAGGAAACAATACTGAAAAATAATACTGGCCCAAAACCTTTTTTTCTATTTTTGGTTCATTAATAGTTTTTTTTCCCCCTCTTAAATGGAGCTGGTTGGTGGTCAGATCTCTCTAGTAACTCCGGATTATTTCATAGTATGTAAGAGAGATAAGAACATTTTAAGCTATTGCTGCAGAGAAATAATTTTGAACTGAAAAGTATCTGTACTGAAAAGCTTGACTCCATTATGTATCATAATATGTTAATCAATAGTTAACTATTATTTAACAACTATGTATCTTTAGGTAATTGGAAGACAGCTTTGAATGTATTTGTTATAGAAAATTGTAATGATTAATAACATTAACAATGAAAATGATATACCTGTACTATAAAATTAGATTATAAGTAGAACTTAGGGAAAAATAAGAATTTTCTTTAACATGATATTTTTTACATGAAATTTGACATTTGGCTTTTTATTCCAAAAGAAAATTTAAAACCTAGAACTAAGTATGACAAATAATCATCCCAAAATTAAATAGCTTTGAATCTTAAAGAAATTCATGAATGCACTTCTATAATATGGATATGATTTTATTATAACAAGACAGAATATATTTAAATAATAATATAGACATAATTCTCAAGACACATAAAATATATTAATTCTTAAGATCAATGACAATTTTCCCTCTAAATTGTCTACACTGTAAGAACTAGATTTTGTTAAAGCTCATGTCACAATCATAAAGTACTATGACAGGTAACGAGGTGACTATTTTCAAGCTCCAAACGGCTTCTTGTTTTTGTTTCTAGATATCACTAGGGTCATTACCACATTTTTATCCTCAAATAGCTATCTTTATAGAAAATAAATTCAATTTAAATAAATTACCTAGTGATTTTAATGTACTTCAGTGAGCAATACTATTCATTAAATGAACATTTGTCATATAACAGAGTTTTAAATTACAGTTAAATATAAAATGAGTGTTTAAAGAATGCCATGTAGTATAAAGAATAGACCTGATGTCAAACTTCTTTCAAAAAATATAAAAATAATGTTCTGGTCAAAATCACAGAATAAACTTGAACTTATAGGCCTGGTAGAAATGTATCCTTCCTTTAAGGGATAACACATATGCTTTGGAAAAATTATTCACCAGCCAGTGTATTTCCAGGATTTGATCTAAAACTCTAAAACAAGTTCTGTTATTACTAATAGCTTAATGCCTTTAGCAGTCTACTCATCTGTTATGTTAATACTTAATTGCAATTATTCCATAAAAATTTTGAGGATGGCAGTAATTACTTTTTTATTTAAAATGAAGAAAAAAAACTATTTGATTTGAGGTTTAGGGGTACTCATAAAAAAATGTGCTGAGGAAATGGGCTGTGGTATGATTTTCTGTACCAGGCTGGTAAGAGAGAAGAGCGGTTCCTGCTCTCTTGTGCTCACCTGGCCACCTTGAAGAGTAGCAGCGACAGTGAAGCCGCACAACAAACAAATCTATAAACCCAATTCCTTCTTCAGCCTAAAGGAATACCTCAAAAATGTATCTAGTATTAGAAACTTCGTGGCCACCTAAGTAACATAATTAATCTAAGAAAATTAAGGTCTTGAAAGCTAGAGAAAGTGTTTTAAATAAATCAAAATGTTTATCAAGTAAAATTTTTAAATACAGGAAACTTTACTTTTAAAATATATTAATTTCTTTCAAATCTTTAAAATTTGCCTTTTTTATATAAAGCTCTAGGTTAAAAATTTAATAAGTCTAATTTAAATGTTTCTTCTTATAAATTTTCAGTAAACCTTAACAAGTTACTGAAAAGTACTCTGAAGTGTTACAAGAAATTAAATCAGTAGATATTTTTAGACATCTAAAAAATGCAAGGTATTCAGTTAGTAGCTATATATAAACACAAACTGCTATGGCATGTGAGAATAAGGTAGGTCTGTTTGGAGCTCAACCCAAGTATATTAAACATGTGAAGAAATGGAAATAAGTTGTTACTTTTTATGCCATTTCAAAAATTAGATAATCAGATGAATGTAAGGTTCCAGTATACTAAATTAAGTTACCATGGTATAGTGAACAGGAAAATGCTGAAGAGTATAAAGAACCCCCCATCCAGTGCAATTTACTAGTAGAACTAATAATTTAAAATAACAATAATAGCACAATACTACTGAAAGAATATATGTCAGCTGACATTTTTAAATTGTCTCAAGGATTTACTCTGCTGAGCTTTATGATCACTGGACCAAAGAATGCATTAATTCAATCACTTAATACTCCACTGAATGTTTACTACCTTACAGGTACTGTTCTAGATGCCTGACACACAGCAGTGAACTAAACAGAGAAATTAAAACACTTGTGACGCTAAAATATCTAGCAAGGGTGAAGATAGCATGATATTACAACCATAATAAATTATGTACAATGCTAGAAGCTGGCAAGTGCAACATGACAGTAATACAGCATATAATATTATGATTATTTTAAAGATTAAACTAGATTAAATAAAGCACTCCAAATGCACTCAGCATAAAGTCAGTATTTAATAAATGTTTCTTTTATGCATCTGTAATTTATTGTGATTCATCCATTCACTATTTTAAGCCTCTACTACAATGCAGGGGCAGAAGGATAATGACATGAAACAATTTTCGGAGAAATAATACCAAATAGTTCAGAATGTCAGAAACAAGAGTACTATATTTGGAGAAGCATTAGAGACAGAGGCCAGAACATAAAGGATTTCATGTATCAGAAGAAAGCCTGAAACACTGGACTTGAACTGTATTTTAAACAAAATGCACTTAAAAGATATATACATAATATTCCCTCCCAGAGTTGCAGAATATACATTCTCCAGGATAGATCGTATGTTAGACTATAAAACATTAAAGCCAAGTAAATT